TTACTCTTTTTTTTCCTCTTCTTTCTTCTTCTAGTCGAGTTCTGATTATCCAGCCATTGAAGGCAGTCAGGTGGGTACTATCTGCAAGTATGGGTGTTCTTGTGTATCTCCCCTCACTTCATATCAGCTGGACGCTACACTCTCTGCTCTAGTCCTCTGTGGCCATGTCACTGCCTTTGGGCCCAGGAGTCCCCAGGTCTTGCCATACTGCTGGCCAACCAGGTCTCCACCCGGGTTCACAGGGGTCTATTGAACGTGGTTGGACTTAGCTCACAACTTCATTGCTGTTTTCCCCCTACTTCCCCTTATCGGTGACCAACGTGGTCACCTGCCAGACCACATGCCTGCTCATGTATTCCTCTTGAGTTTTAGTCTTGGACAGGGATTTTCTCTGAGGGGACCAGACCACTTGCCTTGATGGCTCCCAGGCGAACAGCTTGCTTGTTCTTGTAGTAATCAATCAGACTGCCGTTATTGTTTTTTATTTTTCCTGTTGCTCTTTCTTTCACGAAGCATCTTCTATCTTCTAGCCACTCCAAGTTGGTCTACTTGTCCTTTCAAGTGAAAATTTCCCACCTCAAAAGGGTTCTGGATGGGGATCCTGATTCCACCTATGGTCTTGTGTAATGTAAAGGTTCCATAGGAAGCCTCTTTCACTGGGCAACTTCTAGCCCCCTTTAAGGTATTCCAATCAGTTATAGGCTGAAGAAGGGCATACAAGCTTTCTGTTGTGATGTTTCTGGCTCTTCCTTTCTCCCCCACCTCAAGTGTCTATTTTACAATGGTAGGCAAGGGAAACCAAGATTCAAAAGACATCATGGCTGCATGTTTTGTGAATATCCTTCAACCAAGCTGTCAGTGCCTTTTGCTCAGAAGACATTCAGAATGCCAGACCCAAAGAGAATGGTGTCTTAGCTATATGTCTGTGTATGTATATGTATGTATACAATTAATACTTGTTGTATGTGCTTGTTAGTTGCTATAAAGCCATTGCAAACAATGAATTAGTGAATTCTGAACCATGGCTCCTAAGAGAAATAAAAGGTTAGGTTACTATGAGCCTCTGGCAAAAATATTTTCATCAATCCTTCAGTACCCTTACTTTATGTGGATTTCTGTGAAAAGACACCTTTTAAAATGTATCATTTTGATTCACTAACTTTGAACTTATAGCCTGTAGCACTGTACCCCATACCTGATGGAAGCATATCTAACATATCCATTGTCTGTGTAAGCACATCACAGACTCTTGAGCTTAGGAACCCTAGATAAAAATTCAGCATTATGCTTTAGGACATTTTAAACATTAAAATCAACAAGTGTGCACTAAGTGGACATTGAAGAAGACACCGGTTTAGCCTGGGAGAGCTGCAGAAGGCAGACTCTGGTCACCTGGTTTGACCTCAGCTGCCAGTGTACACATTGGGTAACCCAAAATTTTCACTGTTCCACGCATGTTTACAAATGACTGCAAAAGCACTGTGAGTATTTATTTTGGGGCTATAAAGTAAATACTTAGTGAGTAAGCAAATTTGTGAAATGAAGTCCATGAATAATGAGGCTTGATTATATATATGTGGATTTGTAAAATGATTTTAAGGTGTAGAAAGAGCCGTTGAGGAAGATTACTTGGATATAACCACTCTTTCATGTTAGGACACGTTGGATTGAGTCAGTAAGGCATGATCTGTGTTTGACCCAGTGTTTTTCCTCAGAGCCTAGCATCTCCACAGTGCTTACTGGTTGAAAATCTTTAAAACTTACACTTCTCCATTAAAACTGGATGTGACCTCAGCAGATGATTTCTGGAGAGTGTATTTAGCAGGATTATCATGTTATCTGCAAGTCTACTTTTAATGCCCATTTCCCTTAACAAACTATACTGATCTGACAAGTATATTTTGATACTATAATATTTCAAAGTATAAGTAACTGGGTGAAAGAAAGAAGAGTTTTGAGGAACTAATAACAGATGATGGAGAAATGTACTAAGGTAGCTTTGGAAGTTTCTTTTATTCAGCACATTTATGTAATATACATTTATATTGTACCACTTTAGTATGTTTTTTATAGTTACTATTACCTGTGATTCTAGGTAGCATTCTAAAACAGTAGTGCTTTGCTGTCAATACTACAGATTCATTAAAGAAAAATTTGTGTGTAACAGATGCATCGGGTCCTGTAGGAATTAATGTCTGTAACAACGGCTTTTATGTAAATGGCATCAGATGGTTAGGAAGCAGTGTTAATATTTCGTTAGGTTCTTTAGAATGGGGATAAATCCAAGTTTCATTTGTTGAGGAGGTTGAGCAGCAATCCAGGTATGAAAATGGGAAAGATTTGACTGCCTTTTTTGTAAAGTAGGATAAAACAAGGGCATGTGGAGAAAGAAGTAGGAATAGAGAGAGGCAAGTTAGCTTCAAAGAGATTCATCTGCACCCAGGTCTGTTCTACGCAGCTCCTCTGATCTTCCTGCTTCTGCTCCCTGCAGAATGAATCAACCTGACATTTATATCAACTTTTTGAAAAGTGGGGTGAAGTGGTGTGGAACACATCAGAGGGGTGAAGCCGAGCAAATCTGAAGGAGAGCAGAGCATTTCATCTCTTAGCCTGTGTGTGCTTCCTCTCCTTATGGAGCAGCAGAAGCGGAATTTATGTCCACTCAGTTTTAGTGTATCCTGCTACGTTCATGTTACACTGATGTTAATACAGCTGAAGAAAGAAACGAGCTCACTCAGGCATTTGCTCTGTACCCAGTTATCAGTTTTTCTACAATCTTACAATCACATGGGGTTCCAGTGTTGGCTTGCACTTGGACTTGTCACAAGGTTACTTTCATTGGATTCCCTGAATAATTTGTTAAGTAATTACTAGGGTTTTTTTCTTTATATACACACCACTGGGACTTTGACAATTGTTAAGAGTTTATAAGGGCTTCCCAGAATTTTCAACTAGATCTGGGTAGGAAAAAAATTGTGTGATAAAAAGCCTTTTTGGTAACTCAATAACAATGAGTGATAGTAAAGTGTAAATGCCACTTTCTTCTGGGTGTTGGCATGCATGAATGCATGTGTATGGTTGAAGGCAATGGTAAACCAGGGCTTTATTTTTCTGCGCAAAATAACTCAGTAATTCACATGAAAAATAAACTGACGTTTAAAAGCACAGATTTTAACTTGTTAGTATTCCATTTAAATTGAATTATGTACAGCTAATCACTATTTTTGGATGCTTTCCAGAGACAGATGGCATCGTGTTCAGAATTCACACAAAAGCTGCAGGACTTACGGATGTGGATCTACCCTTAGAATTGGTGTTTCATTTACCTGTCGCTTACCCGTTGTGTCTACCTGGTATCTCAGTTAACTCAGAACACCTGACCAGGGCCCAGTGTACGACTGTGAAAGGGAAGTTACTTGAGCAAGCGAAGAGCCTTTTGTCTGAGCCTATGGTTCATGAACTTGTTCTCTGGGTTCAGCAAAATCTCAGACACATTCTCAACCAACCAGAAACGGGAAGCACCAGTGAAAAGTGTTCTTTTCCACTGAGCCCAGCTGTGGATGGTGAACCGTGGATAACTCTTGTGCATTTAGATCATATGAGAGCAAAGAGTAAATACGTCAAAACTGTGGAGAAGTGGGCTTCAGATTTAAGGCTGACAGGAAGACTGATGTTCATGGGTAAAATAATACTGATTTTACTACAAGGAGACAGAAACAACATTAAGGTGGTAAAAGTTGAATATATAATGTGCATTTACTGTTTTCTGTTTAAAATGGTATATTTATGAGTGTGTTTTTTAAAAATGGGACAGATTAATCATTAAGTTGTTTCTGCTTTCACTATTGCCAGGTTAATGGATCTTCATTTTCTTTCTTTCTTTTTTTTTAAGAACTCCTTTATTAGCTCCTAATTGCTACTATAAACTTGCAAAGCTTGAAGAATAAGTATAAAGATATATTTTAAAAAATCATGCTACCTTCTGAAAGTGACAGATTATAAAAAAATCCATGTGATAATAAATATGAGTGTTGTCTCTGAAATTAGCAGTAAGCCTCAACTTTATTAGCATGCACTAAAAGTTTGTGCATGTTAATATTTCTCTCTGCTGTTAGACACAGCAAGGGGTATATTTGTGGGTAGCCTGGGAAACTTTTAACACCGGCAGTTAAAAATACATCTGACATTTTAATTTGATACCTATAATACGTGGAAAGAAGAGCTTTCGCTTATAACCAAGATTTAGTGTTAGTAGAAGTGGAATCATTAGGGCTGGCAGCTTGTCACCTCCTACCTAACTTTTGCTTTCCAGCTGACTTGTCCCAGCAGCTGCTTTCAAAATCATCATCTTCAGGTTTTTCCAAGTTCTCATTCTAAACTCATTGAAGCTGTTTTAAGTGGAACCAGACAAGGAGAGATGCTTATTCTATTTTAAATCTTGAAAGAGCTACAAATCACTTAATAGAGTGCATATTTTCAAATAGATGGGGTCAGGAATAATTACAATTGAATTTATTTAAAACAGATTTAGCTTGTACAAGCTATACCCTTAAAGATTTGCAGAATAATGCTGTACATTTTACATGGTGATCTCTTAGAACAAATCTATTCTAATATTAGTCACAGTGCTGGTTAAAATAATGCTGATTTTACTACAAGGAGACAGAAACAACATCAAGGTCCTAAAAAAGTAGAATGTTTAATATGCATTTACTGTTTTATGCTTAAAATGGTATGAGTGTGTTTTTAAACAATGGGACAGATTAATCATTAGGATGTTTATAGATATAACAAAAAACTCAAATTTAATATATATCCTAGGTGGTGGTTGTTGTTAAGTGCTGTCGAGTTGATTCTGATGCATAGCGACCCTGTATAGGGTTTCCAAGGAGTTGCTGGTGAGCTTAAACCACCGACTTTGCATTTCAAACGACTTTGCAGTCTGACGCATTAGCCCACAGCGCCACACCAGGAGTCCATATCCTAGGTTGGAGCCTGCCAAATAGACCACATCTTTTAAGGTTATTTATAGGAGTCCAGGAGTTCTGATGTGGCGCTGCAGGATAATGTACTGGACCGAAGGTCGATTTGAACTGCAAAGTTGGCAGTTCAAACTCACCAGCCACACCTCAGAAAACCTATACAGGATCTCTATGAGTCAGAACCGACTCGATGATGCTTAACAACAACATAGGAGTCCTGGTGTGGTGCTGTAGGATGCACACTGTACTGCTAACCTCTAGGTTCAAACCCACCAGCTGCTCCTCAGAAACTATATACAAGGTTGCTATGAGTTGGAACCAACTTGACAACACTTCACAGCAACAGTAGGAGTCCTGTTGTGATGCTGTTAGATAAGCACTGGACTGTTAATCTCAAAGCTGGCGGTTCAAACCCCCAGTCACTCCTGGGGAACCCCTTATAGGGTTGCTGTAAGTCAGCTGACTTGGTGGTGCTTAACTACAACAACAATCGTGTATAAAACTTGTTACTTTTAGGTAATATATTGATTTTGTCAAAAATGAATAAAAATAAATTTCCTTATTCATATTTCCTTACAAGACTCAGATTTTTTTTTTTTAAGTCAACTCAAGCATAATAGACTAAGTGCAGTTTTTTTGCAGCTGTTGCTACCCAGATTGGATCAATCAATTAAAAAGTATTTAGTCATATAACTTGAATTCTTTGCTAACATAAATTGTAGTTTTCCGAAGATTTTTTAAATAGCTATCTCTAATGTGGCATTTTATGTTAATTACACATGTGTGAGAATGTATACTAATGCTGAGAATGTGCAGGTACGTGTTTATCGATGCCATCAGCTGGAGGTGGTACGTACTGCATGCCTATTCATTTCATTCAGATGCTCATTGGTAATAATAAAAACAACAGTAACTATACCGTAAGTGTGCCATGGCATTGTATGCCAGAATTCCTCTAGATTCTTTGCATATACGAGGGGGCTTTGGAAGGTTCATGGAAAAATCACATTTGCTTTTAATTCCATTGTCTCATAAACTTTTGGAAGTTCCCGTGTATTAACTCATTTAATTGTCACAACTCCCCCATGAGGAAGACGCTGTGATGCTTCTCATTCTGTAGAGGAAGTAACTGAAGCAGAGAGGGGTAGCCAGCTCAGAGCCAGAGTTACTAGGTGGTTCCAGTCTACATTTATGAGTTAGAATTGACTTGAAGGCAAGTGGTTTGGGTTTTGGTTAGTCTCATTACCTCTTTCTTTACTCCCACAGTCACCAGAACTGTTAGCTGCCAAGTATGTAAAAAGTATGTAGCTCTCTGTTTGATTTAGTAAATAAAGAGAGTACTCTTTATGCATGAAAATAAGCCTAAAGGCTTATGGCTCCTTTAAGACTAGGACTTTGAGATTCAGAGTAAGATAGGTATTTAACATACTGATTTATCATTTAGGAGTACCTGATTCTTCAGAAAACCTCCAAAGTAGATGTGGACTCAAGTGGAAAGAAATGCAAAGAGAAAATGATTAGTGTCCTGTTTGAAACAAAAGTACAGACAGAACACAAAAGGTATAATTTTGTGCCATTGCAGACAGAAAAGCAACTGAATCGATAATTACACTCTGACAAAGCTAGGCACATCCATGAGTTTCTCTTGTATAATGCAGGTTTCTGGCATTTGAAGTCAAAGAGTATTCATCGTTGGATGAGTTACAAAAGGAATTTGAAACTGCAGGACTTCAGAAGCTTTTCTCCGAATTTGTACTTGGACTGGTAAAATGAAATGGAAGGTGAGAGCCTGGTAGTAAAGCAGCAGCGTTTGTTTTTTTTTTTTTGTTGTTGTTGTTGTTGTTTTTGTTTCTTAGGGTTGTTCTTGTAACTGCAGCACTTACAAAGGAGCAGTTTGGAAGTTTCTCTGAAGCAAAATTACACCAGTCAAAATGCATTCTGTTTTATGGAAAAATCGTTTTTTGTTTGTTTATTTTTTAAATCAACCTATATTCTAATTATTGCCAGGGAAATCTAGGTCTAGTTTATCTGAAAGATACATATAAAATGATTATAAATAAGCCCTTTATTTTTATACAAGGTTTGTTTTCTGGCTGATATTCTTACTTAAATGATTTTTAAAAAAAGATATATTTTCATGTTTACGTAAATATTTTTAGCATTTGATTGTGATTGATTTTTCCTTTTCAGCTTATCATAGCTAATGTTCTAAGTTGACCATTAAGAAAAATAAAATGCTGATTTCCTTTGTGGAATTGCATAAGTTGTTATTTTGTTTAAGTATAACTCCAAGAAATTATATAGAACTGGATTTACCATTCTTTGTTTGGGGTCCCAGAATAACACAAGACTAGCTAACAGTGATCTATGAGTAGATGCATGAATAGACACTACTCAGGCTGAGCAGGCATGGGAGAGAGACTAGGAATATACCCACAAATATATATATATATATAGGTCTCATAGGGGATTTATATGTGAGTATTTACCTTTGCTGCAAGTATATCAATGAATGTAGTGGAGCATATTGTTGTTCTGTTGTTAAGTGCTGTTGAGTTGGTTCTGACTCATATTGACCCTGTGGAGGGTTTCCATGGAGTGGCTATTTGGTTTGAACCACTGGCCTTGCAGTTAGTAGTCCATGCTTATCCTACAGTGCCACATCAGGACTCCATAAAGCACAGAGGGGGCAAAGTTATGAAAATTTCTAAGATATAACCAAACACCTTGAGGGAATAAATGGCTGGGCCTGGGGGGTTTAGGACCATAACCTCAGGGGACACCAAAGTCAATTGGTATAAATAACATAGCCTACAGAGATAATGTTCTGCAGTCTACTTTGGTGAGAAAAGGCTGGGGTATTTACAGCTCATTAGGGACCATCTATTGTTGGTCTCTCCCTGTGTAGAGGAAGGAAAAGTGAAGAAAATTGAAGATACATGGAAATAATTATTCCAGAGGACTAAGGGACCATGTGAACATCAGTGTCCATGACTCTGAAACCAGAAGAATTAAATGATGTCCAGCTACCACTACCAACTTCTCTGAAAACAGTCACATTAGAAGGTTCTGAATAGAGTGAGAGGAAATGTGGAACAGAATTCCAAGTCTTAAAAATTTACTAGGCTTAGTGGTTGGATAGGTCTGGTGGAACTCCTGAGATATAGGACCCTTAATTATCCTTCAGGTCTGAAGAGAACTCTCCACTATGATTGAATTTTCAGCCAAATAATACATCTATAAATGGAATAATACACTAGGGAACTATGCACACCTTAGAATAATCAACCACTTGGTATAAAAAGGGAGTTCTGGTGTGATGCTATAGGATAAGTACAGGACTGGAAGGTTGGTTTGAACCATAAAGTTGGCAGTTCATATTTACCAGGTGTTCTTCAGAAACTACTGGGTCACTATGAGTCTGAACCAACTCGGCGGAACTTAACAACAACATTTGTGCCAGGCCAAAGTTCTCAGATAGGTTAGGAAAGGAGGAGGAATGGCAACAGGAAACACAGCAAGGAAGTGGGATTAAGTGATGTTATGTTGGGATTGCAATCTGATACAAAACAAAATGAGTATGAATTGTGAAATGAAAAGTTGATGTCTAAAGCGTCATCCAATTCACAATAAAAGTTTTAAAAAATCTTATTTGAAAAATTTACCTCCTGGTTTTACAAGGAGAGAAAAGTTTTACATAAAATGAACATGGCCTGCTGGATAGAAGAAATTATGGATGTATATATAGTTTAAAATTTTTTTCTTATGAACTCTAAAGGCATGATAGTCTTAAAATGTTGTTGTTGTTGTTAGGTGTCACCAAGTCAGTTCTGACTCATAGCAGCCCTGTATAGGGTTTCTGGGGAAGTGGCTGGTGAGTTTAAACCATTGACCTCACTGCTCAAACTGACCTTACGGTCCTATGTATTATCCTGCAGTGCCCCACCAGGGCTCCTTGAAGCAACTTTAGGCAACTTTATGATTTTAGGAGAGAAAAATAAAAGCTTCTGCTAAAATTTCATCAAATGTAAGCCGACATTTGTGTCTGTGGATATTTGTGTGCATGAGGTCACTTGGGCTTCTTAAATAAGGGCCTAATTTATGGAGGAAAGGCCAAGTGAATTGCTCTTATTGCCATAAAGCTCACTGATGCCATTTTGAAATTATAACTGAAGGGAGAGCTAGGAGAAGAAAACTATGGCATGTTGAGCAGCTTTCTGTCCATGGCAGAGCAAACTGATCATCTTTACAGATGCCATTGTAATTGTTTTCTGCCTAAAGTTGCTTGATGACTTGATGGCACTTAACAACAACAACATGGGAAGAATATATGTGACAAAGAGAGAAGCTACTCCACTATCATACATAACTGAGAAAATAGAAAATTATATCAGGTGATCACTGTTACCACCCTTATTTGATTTGATGTAGTTTTAGTGAAAATCAAAGTAGTGAAAAAAAGAGCAGGATCAAGAATGCTGGCCTTGTGGTTGGAACTGGTTGAGAGCACTCTGATAACCTTAAAAGTTACTGCCATCACATCTTTATTTATTTATTTATTTACTTACTTACTTATTTATTTATTTATAAATTTTACATTCATTCTATCGTATATCATCTCATTGCCATGGTTACAGTCCCCTCCAAGCAATCCTTCCCCCGTGCTCTCCAGGTCTTCAGCACACAGTCGCTCTCCCTCTCTGGATCTAAAGTCTCCAGCTGTTCCATCGCTCCACGTCATCATCTCTGGCTCCATTTCAGGC